GTATAGTGCGTTTTTCAGTGAAATATAGCACTAAAGAAACAATTGTAAGATTATCATTCCCAACCTAATATTTTAGAAAGGAGGGTAAAAAGATTGGAGAAAGATGTGAGATTCTTAAAAGACGAATTAAAAGTTCTAGACAAATGTGTAGATAGAGAAACTGTGATCGACTTAATACAAGAAATAGCTTTCTCGCCAAAGATCAAAAAATGTAAGGGTTCCTCCTATTCATCCAAGTCTTCCGAAGATTCTGATTCAGTTGAGATAAATCAGGTAAGAGATAAAAAGACCGTTCCTCTTAAGCACCAAAGAAAAGTACGACGAAGAAAGGTTAAACGGTTTGTAATGATGAATTAGCCAATCAGACTGAGTGATAATATACACTATCATTCCAGAATACCAGATTGTTCTCTAATGCTTATGGATAGGTTTATTTTTTTACTTTAGATATTATATACCATAATAAAAAATGGTGATTGTGGATTGTGTAGTCGAAGAAAATATTCCTACTGGTGTATTAATTGATACTGTGCTGATGTTTACTGCATTAGCCATAAATATATTTCTGAATTAGGAATTACATATCACAGTGAAAATAATAATATTAAAACTTCAGATGCAACCTATTCCATATTAGGAAAAGTTAATCTGCACATTGGCTTTAATGATAATGAGAAGCATAAAAGCATTGGGCCCAGTGAATTTATGGTTCTTGGGCCAGATTGGCACGGACCTGATTTAATTTTAAGAGGGCTTTGGTTGCGAGAAAGTGGTGCAACTTTGAATATATGCAATTCAAAGCTATCATTAGATAATGATTTTGTGATTCCATTCAAAGAAGTATAATATTAGCCTGTGCAGAATAGCGATTTTGGTGGTGTTTGCCAAGTTAGAAGATTTTTTTGTTTGAATATGAGGGGTATAATACAGATTATTTATGGCGCATACAAGCATTTTTAATATAACAGAAGTATTAGATCAGATTATATATTTCTTAGCGATAGATAAGTTACTCCATCCCACTTTATTTGTTTGCCGATTGTGGTAATGATGTGATGTCTTTAATCTGTGGAAACGTATCACGATTGAAAAAATTTTACACAGCATAATAATATAAAGCAGGTGAAAACTTTATTTTTCTCGTTATAAAACTTAATCAAAAATATTAATGCAATAATAATTTCAACAGGGATCGTTTTTCGCCTTGAATTGCTAATGAATTTGTTAGCGGGAATACTTTAATATTATACTTTTTAATTCCCATAAATCCAAGTAAAACCCATTAATTGCTCCAGCTGGAATACCAACAGGAGAACCATTAAAAAGTTCAACGGCAGGAATATGCAACTGATAATTCGGAATACCAGGAGCATTGCAAGCAGTTGCTGAGAACCCGAAGCCACCAGTAATGTTAGCATGTAGAACACCAACAGTATTTGTAAGAAATCCTATTGTATTATGATGGAGAGGTGCCGTGCCAAAAGATATGACGATATCTGGCACTATATTATTTTGATTTGTACGTAGGTAGCGCAGTGCAAGCATTGCCATTGTACCATCCAGACGCTTGGAAAATAATTTGATCGCAATATAAATTTGAATGGTCGTTCGTGGAGAAAAATAACCTGTCGAAAGATCATGTAAGCTAGGAATAGTCTCACTGTTGCCAACTTCGACAACCAATGTTGGGTATGCATTCCCCTCCGAGTTAGATCCCTGGCCAGCTGGAGCTTTAGGAAGATCTTGTGGTCGGATGGTAAGATCAGCAGTATAGTAACTATTCGGTCCTATAATAAGATCCTCTTCATGTAAGTTATGCAATTGATTATTACTCCATGTACGTATCAAGAATGCAATTTCGCCTGCTACCGCTCCATGGGATGAGAGAGGTACTTCATAAGCTATAATTTTTCCATCGATCAAACGAATGCTAACAGGGAGCTTTCGCTCAGTTTCGCGATACTTGATGTAGGCTTCAAGTGACACATTTTCCTTGATAATGATTGGCTTCATATACTCGTTCGCGTCCATATTTTCCTCTTCGAACGCAAGTAAAATATCTCTGACTTGATTAAGGCGTTCTTTGCTTAACCGAAGTAAAGTCGACTGCATATGGGAAGAGGTTGTGACAGCAGTTGAACTAGATCAGGCAAGATATAAAAAGTACATTTAGAGATGATTTTTTCTTTTTCTTTTTTTAATAGTAAGTTAGTGGGTTTAGGATTTAAAAAAGGATAGAAAGAACACAGTTGCATATAACTACTCACCTCTGGGTTGCAGTAGTAGGGGCGGTAGTAAGGCTTGCACTAGACGAAACACTTGAATAATAATCCGAAACTTTATCATTATATAAACTTGTCATTTTCATTTTAAAAAGATATTTGAGAAATCTGATACGTAATGTATTATAAATCGTACCGTTACCTCATATGTAAAGATTTTTTCAATCTCCGCTCTATTACAGTGATATCATCACTTAGTCTTAGGAAATTAACTAAAATTAAGTCAATCAAAATTCTTATTTTTCTCAACGTTTTTTATTTCATTAAATAAAGTGTAGATATGGGTTTCGAAGTGCTTGTCTGATAATTCACGTGCTGAAAATCACCCAACGTCTGTGTGACGTAAATCATATTTTAGCGCTTGCTTTTCCCAGAAGTAAATTCTTAAACTAATACATCTGCCACTTCTGTCACTGGAAATGAGTCGCTCACGTTAGCGGACGAAATAAAAAATATGATACGGCTGAACTTATCTCTTTTTTGCGGGAACAGGACTTTGAGGCTTATAAAGGAGGACTTTGATATAATTGAAAATTAGAGAGTTGGCGGCCGGGACTTCTCATGACAACCAAGGAGGAGCTTCGTAGTTATGGTATGAAGGGAGGACCTGCCTCGAGGCTTGCGGACTTCGCTCAGAAACGTTTGGAATTTTTATTTTATTCGCTTATGCAATCTAATTATGACTTGCGAAACTAGCCACGGACTGGTATTTCATTCTACATAGTATCGAGGCTATCTACTGCACGAGCAGGAGTATCGAATTTCACTGACAGGCTCTCGAGGATCCAACTGAATTGCGTAAGAATGTGAAGAGTATTTTAGAGTTATAGTGAGTTGATTAAAGGTTAGTGTATCAGCTAGTGAAGAACCCGCGACTAAGAAGCGTCGCGTGAAAGAAAAAATCAAGAAAAAATTACTATAGAAGCGTTATATATCACCCGATTCTTTATTTTTCGCATGTAAAACGTGCTACTTCTCGACCTTGTATTTATTTTTGCGTGTATTAATAAAGCGTTTTACATTTGCCACATAACATTGAATATTTCCTATCGTATAAAAACTATATTAATAATCATGTTATCCGAACTTGAAGTATTGAAACAGCGTATCAGTGAGCTTGAGGCTGAGAATGTTAAGATTAGAGCTGATTATGGGACTGAGATTGCCAATCTTAAAGCCGAGAAAGCGAATTTATAAGTTCTATCAAAAAAGATTACCCTGATTTTGAGGATCATATAGTAAAATTAAAGCAGTTCTTCTTTGAAAGTATTGAGGCTATAATTATTGAGATCAAAGCTCAGAATGCAAAAAATACATCAATTATAGAAGAATATGAAAAGGGATTGGAATGCAAGAAAAATCACAAATTTCAAGACTAAATGCAAAGGAAATTCTTAATGAGGAACCTATGATTGAATATCGCCCTCCTTTCTTGAATGGATTAGAGCTTGATGCCTTCTTCCAAAAATATCAAATTGCATTGGAGGTGCAAGGGGCTCAACATCGGCTTCATAGTACTAGCTGGTATAAGGATGTTAAAAAACTCGAAGATATTGTTAATCGTGATCGGCAAAAAAGATGCATATGTCAAGATAATGGAATCTTTCTTCTTGAAGTATGGTATGGTGAAAAACCAGAAATTGTTATTCCAGAAAGAATACGAAAGATTAAGGGGGTTCATTAATCAAGCATCTAAAAGTTTCGATTTTCTATAATCAAAACTTATACTGTAATACACCTATACGAAATAAATATTTATTTTTTTCGCACATTCTACGTTTCAAATTAACGGTATTAAATAATCAATCAGCAAACACCACCTTAAATGCGCAGTACAATATCAGTCCTTGCTCGGACATACCTGTGAAAATTAATTTTTTATTACTGATAATTATCGATTGACCTTCCATCTATAACCATCCAGCCCTCTTCCACATGTGAGACGGTGTGGAATGTGAAAAAGAAATATAACGGTAAAAGTGAATCGGAAGTATTTTTATCCATTAGCTAATTTTGCTTGGGACTTTTGCAGTAGATCTGAAATATCATCAGAATATTTGGACGAGAATTGGTTAAAACAAATGGAAATGGAATATTTGTTTTGGAATTGATTAATTTATTTCAGAAGTCATAGAAGCATAACAAATAGGCGTATAGATTAAAAAGTATTATTTATTAAAAAAACGATATCAATCATAAGCGCTTAGTACTATATTATAATATCAAATATGCAAATGAATAATAGGATATAATATAACTAAACAGTTTTATTGTGAAGAAGACCCTTGGGAACAAATGCTCATTTCATTCTTAAGTTGCCCTTTCGGCGTGAAATAAGTTGATCTTATAAAATTATATTTGCGATGATGTGGTCTTGAAACACTTTCAGTGTGAAAATTCTTATAAAAGGGATTTGAACCATTGTTGTTGAGATGAGATAATGCGCCTGCTTTACGAATGATACTATCCTATTTTTCAAGAAGTTATAATCAATGCTATTATCGTATATGTTACCGACAGTTGTGTTTCTTACCTTAAGCTTGCTGGAGAATCGCAATATCATTGAGTTGGCTGGGAAACTTAAATGATGGCCCTTCGAACCCAAAGTACGAGCCTTCATCCAATAGATCAATACCAATGACCTGTCCATAGAGAGCTAAAATAATAATAATAACCATTATCATTAATTATTATGAACATGACACAATACGTGATAAAGAGCTTTACCGGCTAATTGCAATCCAAGAATGGCAGAATTCTCAACCATATCCTCAGAAAGATCATTCTTAAGATACTGGTCAAGGACACATTTGTTTGTACGTAGACATTTACTACGATCCATTATAACCTTGACTCGTGTTGCATATCGGGCACATTCAGAGTGACTAAGTTCTATATTTCCTTCTTGGGTTATAATCTGTAAATCGATCTTTCTACCAGCTGATGTTGACTTGGAAACTGTTTCTCCCCTACAACAAGAAAACCATTAGAACATCAATTGATAATCACTTCAAAGCAAAGAATACTCACCATTTGAGTTTAACGAGATGCTGAACATCAGAAAAAATTATGTCCAAAATTGGACCTACAACTTTAAGTGCGAACTCTATTTCCGTCAAATCTTGTTTCTTCCCTTCCTTGTTCACAAAGATGCAAGGATTTTCCAAAAACATGTCCATACTGCAATGAAGTTTAAACTTAGTTTGGCAATAAACATAACCGCATAAAAGGAACACAATTACATACATGAAAAAATAAAATTTTCATTATTTGTCGTTGTAAAATTCCATCCGGTCGTCCCTTCAATTTTTCATATATAAAATCCCTGGCTTCCCAGTATTTATATTCACTACAAAGCTGGATATTGAAAAGAGTTCAGTAGTGAACACATAATAGCAAACAATTACTAAAGCATTCACATGCATTCACATACCTTCTCTACTTTATCGATATCATTCTTAACGACGTCTTCAAATTTCTTTTGTTTGATGTTTACCAGAGCCAGCGCCTTTCTTTTAAGGTCCGGCCACTCCTCACCAAACCATAAATACATACCACCAGAAAATTCCGAAGTAAGATCGATAATTGAAGAAAGCCCGAGCCTGCATGTGTTTATCAGCAGTTAGCATTGTACCAATGTCCTGGTTATAAGAAAAAGAAATTATATACCTGATAACACTTAAAATAGACGCGTCCAATTTTTTCCCATTGGATTTCATTTGTATCTCCTTTGCTTGTTCAATGCTCTTTGATGTCATGCGGATAAATAAGTCTTTCACCTTTTCTCCACTCTTCAGTGTCCATATATCTCCTTTAGTTTCGCTCATTTCTGTAAACGTATCAAAGGAAACTCCATCAAAATCGACCATATCATCTTCATCCGAGCTCTCGTCATTTTCATCATCTTCGTACTCGCTTTCAGATTGATTTTCAAAGAGACACATCTTAAAATTCTGTAAAAAATGTTAGTCGAAACCATTAAATTCAAATCAGACCCTTAATCTGCAAAATAGTGGTATACTTTATTATGTTCAGGTAAATTTTCTGACTTCTGTTTACGAGGCCTCAGAGTTGGAGGCGGTGATAAATTTTCTGAATTCCGTTTACGAGGCCTTGGAGTTGAAGGCGGTTTAATCATTGCATTTATAAAATTTTCACGAACACTATTATCCTGTTCGTATACTAATTTTTTCATAGTTACGTGTTGTTCAGCCTAACCCACAAATGAGATATTCAATAATTTGAAATTCGCGGAACACAATGAATTTACAGAATGCATAAAATACATACATCAGACAGCTTGCTCCTCATCTCAGCAATTTCTATTCTTTCTTCTAAGTTTTGTTTCTTTTCCTCCTGTGCCATAGTTATCCAGAATGCGTTAATGACTTGCTTGTATTTATCGTTCTATAGAAAAAGAGGCTTCTTGTCAGTTTTAAATTTGTGAAACATACGAAATTCTACTGAGTATACCTTTAGAGTTTTCTCTATTTCAAATGCTTTTGACCTAAGTTCTGAATCTGAACTCGAACACATATACTCCAGGCACTTATATAATGCAGTATGAGCAGTCTTTTTATCACGATGTGTAAACTTATAGTGTTTAAAGAAGTCAATAGCAGAATATTCACTACGTTCGTTAATAAAGTATGGCAGATAGTTTTGTAAGTGCTTCTCCATTAGGGAGGGCCAGAAATCACGTCATTTAATTTGTTTAAATACGCGACAGTCGCGACATTCACAATCTTCTATCACGTGATATTTAACCAATCAAGTACATTTACGTTTTACCATGCACAGCTTAATTTTTTTTTTGTTGTGTAGGTTCGCCCTGCAAGTGGATTATAGCTCTGATGTGGAATCGGATCTAATCGTCAACCTTCGGGGACCTTGCCCCATCAACTATTTCTATCTCATCTATGTAAATAAATGAATAAATAATGGCAGCGATAGTAGTGATAGTGGAACGGATAACGTTATAAGTGAAGAAGAAAAGTCAGGTCGTATTGGTTTTACATATCGTATTCATCGAGAACTTTTTAAAAAAAAATTTATTACACGAACGCAGGACTACGTATCTATGCAAATTGCAGGCAGTTCGTCATTTGGCCTTATTATTTGACCCGCTGTCCGTGAGTACGACTCCAGCAAGTTGCGCGTTCGTGTTCTGTTCTGGCTAAATAGTGCCTTTATTTTTTCACTATACTTAGTTGACGCAAGACTACGTGTCTATGCAAACTGCAGGCAGTTCGTCATTTGGCCTTATCATTTGACCCGCTGTCCGTGAGTACGTCTCCAGCAGATTTGCGCGTCTTCTGAGAGCCAGCTTTTATATTTTCACTCTGGTTTTTTTCCGAAATAGTTAAAGAAAATTTTCTAATGAAGCTTAACATGTGTTTAACTATTATGGACCATTTTTTTGCTGGGCTGTAACTGTAGGGAAATTTTATCATGTAAAAAAGATCGTACCTTAGTACCAGTGGTATCAACTCTAGTAGAACAGGATCCAAATGATGCACAGAAAAAAACACACTAGGAAATTACCGAAAATCCTCTAACAAGAAAGCGAAAAAGACTAGTGGAAAGAAAGTATCGTCTATGTTAAAAAAACTTATCGAAGAATTATTAACTGATACACCTGTTCCCGCTATTGGAGAGAACTTGGAAGAAGCCAATGAAAGCGCAACCAGTATTTTTTTGCAACTCTCC